TATTTTATTAAAAAATGCTGATTGGGCCAGATGTGGTGGCAAGAACCTGTAATCCCAGCCACTCTGGAGGATGAGGTGGGAGGATCACTTGAGCACAGGAGTTTGAGGCTGCAGTGAGCTGTGATTGTGCCACTTCACTGCAGCCTGGGCAACAGGGTAAGACCCCATCTCTTAAAAAAAAACAAAAAAGCAAACAAAAAACCTGGTTGATTTCGTGATCCAGTTATGGATTCTGACCCATATTTTGAAAATCACTATTCTAAAGGAATGCCAAAAACTTGACATTTGTTGTTTCATTTCTTTCCTATGTAATGTATGGGGGCAGGGTGGGGGGAGGAATAAATGTGCAACCATAAAATATCAGTTTATCTTATCTTGATTTGCTTTGATCAGAGATAGCATGGAGAGTAGAAAAGGGAAAATAAGGGGTTACAAAATTTGGGTTTTAAGTCTGAACTTTGCTACTTATGAACTGGAACTGGGTCATCTGGACCTGGAACCCCACAGTGCTTTTAAATTGATAGAAGCTCAAGAAACAATTTTGTACAGCTCACTCAACTTTTAAAACTCTATTAAGGATCTACGTCGAAGTATGATCCAGTTCAGTAGTATTGAGAGACAGTAGCTTTGGGTTAAAAATGAGGGCTGGAACCAGATGTATTAACACACTTATGTCTGGCACAAAGTAGTCATCATTTAAGTGTTAGCTATTATTAGTATGCCATAAGTATTCTCTGAGCCTCAGCTTCATTGTTTATAAAGGGGAAACATGATGAAAACAAATTTAAGGAAATTTTGCTGTCCTCCTGGGTTCCATTGTTTTAGAGAGAAAAATAAATTTTTCTTTATTTTTGCTGTTTAGACGTTTACTCTTCCCTCAGTATCACAGAAATAGTTGGCCTTGAGAGTCGAAACTATGTTTGAATTTTGCCTCTGCCTCCTCCTGGTCGGGAATTCTTGCTCAAGTTAGTTAAATGTGGAAAACTCAGCTTCTCACCTGTAAAATGGGGCAGGGGAGAGGGGTAGGAGAGAGTAGGGTGATCATGTCTGTTCTTTCATGTTGTTAAAGGATTAGCAGTAATGTCTGACTTGCCTAGAGCAGTGTCTGGCCCTTAATTGCTTCCTGAATTGTGGCAATTATGTGTTACAGAAAGCTGGAAACCAAAACACATTTGAGGAGCCAGTTAGGCAAGGGTCTGTTTCAGCACCCTGGCAGTAAGGAACAGTATACAGATGGGGAAGTTGGGAGGAGTTATTTTATTTAGCTGGCCTGCAGATGTTTTAGGGGATGTTCTTTGTTAAGTGGACCCACAGCAGAAGGATCTGATGGGAGACTGTGTGAGCAATTATAAGTACTTATTGATGGGTTGAAGGGATACCAGTGATGGGGAGCTCTCAGGGTCATCGTTAGATGCTGGCATCTACCATTGAAAGGTGAATTGTTGGGCCTTTTCCGTGCCCAGGGGGTGTCTCAGTGGCAGGGAGCCAATTCATCCTTCAAGTTCCAGCTCCCTTCGCCAGATAACTCTTTTTCCCATAAGCTATACAAGTACATCTCCTGGGTGAGGCACAAGAGGCATCTCACAGAAGAAGGAGTTTGGAGGGAAAGGAAACACAGGGGTAGGAAAAGGAAGTCAAGAGATCTGTAGGAGACCTGGACTGAGGCAGGTATGGTTCTGCCCACCTTTTTAGTTCTTTAATTCCAATGGGCTGTTACTTTTCCTTGAGGTGTGGGTCTTTTGAAAGAAACCACCACTAGGTGGCACACAGATCCCAGCACTATTCTGCTGTATAAATTATTATTTTAAAAATTATTTTGAAAAGACAGGCCACTAGTATGTTTTTTAATAAAATAAAATATGATATATAACCTATTTAGCACTTCATTTTAGAAAGGAAAAATGATGAAAAATTAAAATTCAAAATGTATTTTGTGGGCTCAGTCTACTTAGAGTCCAATTTTTGAAGTATGTAATGGTTAATGGGCTTTGTTCATATGTGGGTGAGGTGTGACTCTCACACACACAGGCTTCATTTAATTTACTGAGAGTTGTAAAATGTAGCTTTATAGTAAATATTTTAAAGACCAGAGTAATTATCATTTTGCTTTTCAAGAAATGTGTCTGGTCATTGCTTTGCATTTGTGGTGTGTGTGTGTGTGTGTGTGTGTGTGTGTGTGTGTGTGTGTGAGAGAGAGAGAGAGAGAGAGAGAGCGTGAGAGAGAGGTGTGAACATAGGTGTCACATAGGTGACATCAAAACAATGGGATGGGCTGGTCATTGACTGGGAAAAACAGAGGAAGCCCAGAGAAAGAATGTGACAGAACATCCGACTTAACCCAGGCCCCTCCCCTCTCCCCAACCAAAAAGAAAATTTTAGACCAGGCTTTGTGAGGCAGTGGTAATCTCCCCTCCCCCACTACCTCCAAACGTAGCTTTTTTAGACAATCAGCAGCAAGCAGCATAGCAGCAGCCAGAAAAAGGTGTCACAGAGTACAGTCTGTGCCTACTTATTGTTTGGGAGCATCAGTCAATGATAATAGTTTCATACCTTTGTTTATAAACTGTGACACTGAATTCTTTAGCTTTAGCCACATTGGAGACCGCTAATGAAAACGCATTCATATTAAAGGTTTGTTGACTTGACATAATCATTTGCTGTGAAAGGTACAAACAAGGCCCATTAAAATCTACCATTGTTTTGTGTCTGGTTCCCCTGTGATGGCCAAAAGCAGGCAGGTGGTAACAAGCCGCCCCCTTCTGAAGGGACTATGTGGGTTCCTAGTTTTATGTGCTCTGGTTTATTGATGTCATTACGTTATTAGGCAAATGACCGATGCCATTCCCCATCCCACCTCCCACCCCAATTATCAGTGTACATATTTGGAGAGTCTTCATGCTGTGTCCTGAGAGACTGTGCTGGAGGAGTCCTTTTTTTTATTTTTTATTTTTTGGGATGGATTCTCACTCTGTGGCCCAGGCTGGAGTGCAGTGGCACGATCTCAGCTCACTGAAACCTCTGCCTCCCAGATTCCAGGGATTCTCCGGCCTCAGCCTTCTGAGTAGTTGGGATTACAGGTGCCTGCCGCCACACCCGGCTAATTTTTGTATTTTTAGTAGAAACAGGGTTTTACCATGTTGGCTAGGCTGGTCTCAAAACACAGGGCTGGGTGCGGTGGCTCATACCTGTAATCCCAGCACTTTGGCAGGCCGACATCATGGCCAACATAATGAAACCCTATCTCTACTAAAAATACAAAAACTAGCTGGGTGTGATAGCACATGCTTGTAATCTCAGCTATTTGGGAGGCTGAGGCAGGAGGATGGCTTGAACCCAGGAGGCAGAGTTGGCAGTGAGCCGAGATTGTGCTACTGCACTCCAGCCTGGGCGACAGAGTGAGACTTTGTCTTAATAATAAAAAAAATAATGTCATTTTAGGCTGGGTGCAGTGGCTCACGCCTGTAGTCCCAGCACTTTGGGAAGCCGAGGCAGGCAGATCACCTGAGGTTGGGAATTCAAGACCAGACTGACAAACATAGAGAAACCCCATCTCTACTAAAAAATACAAAATTAGCTGGACATAGTGGTGCAGGCCTGTAATCCCAGCCACTGGGGTGGCTGAGGCAGGAGAATCGCTTGAACCCAAGAGGCAGAGGTTGCAGAAAGCCAAGATTGCCCCGTTGCACTCCATCCTGGGCAACAAGAGTGAAACTCCGTCTCAAAAAAAAAAAAAAGTCGTTTTAGACATGTATAAATGCATCAGCAGTGTGCTTGACATGCTTGTACCTTGCATTGGCGTATAGGTGGATCAGATGTGTAAGGTAACTTGAGTTCTTCATTATTACAACTAAGACTTTGATTTCTACATGTCAGTTGATGGGTCATCTTCCTTGTTCCTACTCAGCACCCCCCCACCACCACCCCAAGCTATGGAAAAGAAACTGCGCCCTTGTATGGGAGCAAGGTGTTGACATGGAAGTGCACTCTGTGTATCTGTCTGTCTGTCTGCAACTGTGGCTGTCAGAACGGTGTCTTAGCCCTTTTCCTATCGGATCTCAGCTGAAGCAAATAAGTATAATGAACAGCAGAAAGGGGGTCACCCTGGGCATCTCTCTCATTAATGGAAGTCACCAACAGATCTAAATCTAATCGATTCCAATAATACACCTACATGTCTTAAGCCTTGGGTCAATAGCTTGATTACATTATCTTTTTTTTTTTTTTTTTTTTT